GAAGAAAATTCATGGTTTCCTATCTGGTCAGGGGTAGCAGTAGGTTCGGAAAAATGGGAAGCATAGGAAGCTGCAGCAGTCGATAGTGTGTCGTCTGGGAGCCTGCTAGTCTAATAGAATAGAGCGATCGGGAGAGTGCATTTCTACCTGCATACACTATGAGAAAACGGCCTTGCTTGCTCAACTCACAATTACATCAAGCCCCGCCCAGCGCAAAGATCAAACCTCGGGAAGTTGATGAGGGATAGAAGGGAGCGAAGAGAGTTAGTCATTATTTCGAGGAAAAAAAAACTTTCAAAACTATGTTTAGAAGAGATCGTAGATGAGAAATACGTAACTTCACATTCGCTTTTCATTAAGTGGCATTATGGCATTTATACCTCCCTTAGACCTTCCTGATATATCCCTAGACCTCCCTAGACCTTTATACCTCCCTAAATAAAAAAGGAAAATGGCCTCATATTGAAAGAGAAGGGAGCGGAAATGGCACTTCCAGACCTGAAGATTTCGAGTTTTCAAAACTGATTTGAATATTTCTGAACACCATGTGTTGTTGCTTCAATTGAACCAACTAGCGGGCAAAAGGGCACACATGTTGCTGCGTCGACTACGGATTCAAACATTCTTTGTTCGAAGCAATTTTGGCCACACCCTCTCCTCACTGAATGGTCCATGAAATGCAATTTTCACGCAATCTGTCCCTAGACAAATGGTGTTAGATCCCAAATCCTTGCATATCTTCAGACTTATACGAGTTCAGCTAAAGCGTTCAACATCGGAGTAGTTGGCAGCCAAACCACACTGCTATGGTAGGAATATAATCCAGTGAGAGCAGTAACCCATCCAGTTTACAAGTTCTCCATTAAAAAAGTAATGATGGCTTCAAGATCTTCTATGAGAACTGCAAAAACTTAGTAGTTACGCGGCGATGTTGGAGAACACAAGACAGAGAGATAACCATTGGAAAGAAATGGTTTGAGTATTGAGCCCTTTTGAAAGGTAGCTCAGGAACCATTTGAATAACACTGTTGCTTTACATGGCGTCTAGGGTTTTCCAAAAGTACACATTGAGGAGAAGTTTGAGGTGATCTCTTTCTGCGACCGTGGTTCTCATTTAGCTGCTACTACCTCACAACGACAGAATTCACTGACTTCTGTTAACCTTTCAAAGTAAGTCAGTTTCATGTACGTAGAGAGGTGGTGATCGTCATTTACACAGTCTTGATAGTCTACAACTTCCTGCTCACAATTTCGAGCTCCACTCTACCCTGAACAAGAAAGGCGAAAGTGTGAGATAGCAGGTGGAGTGTTCCTTCCCTAACGGTGATTTCCCGAGAAGCTCAAAAAGAAACCCAATGAGTGGTAAATGAGGCACATCTGGAGCGTATGTTAGCGGAAATTCCGGTAAAAGGAGAGTCTATCGATCAGATTTCGACACTGATTTTAATATGTGAAAATTTGAGTGGAATCATTACAAAAGGCAACTGGTGTTCGATTGATTTCAACAAAAAAGATATGCAAAAAAAANAAAAAAAAGTGGCTCGACACGAATGAAGCCCCCTTTAAGCTAAAATACATCGGTGTTTTTCCAATAAATGAAATAATTAATCGGCAATACTACTATATAATATCCCTACAGCCCTGGTTAATCAAGCCTTCCATCCCTACGGGATCGGGTAACCGTTCCCAGACTCGTTTAGGAGGATCGAAACACAGATGAGAACATCGGCTGACCACCGTACATAAGTCACTGTATGGGACAAATACTACGCCTTCAAATCGCTACTGCAACTCTGACCGGAAGTCGAATTTGGGGGGCATCCCGAGAACGATCAAAAAGATTTCCACTTTTATTTCGGCATTCCTAACTAAAAGATCATCCAATTTGGTTTAGCTGAAGAAGAACAATGCTGATGTGCAGAACGAAAGTGGTTGAGTAAATAAATGAGGTGGAAAGGCGAGAAGTGTAAGTCTGTTTGTTTAACGAAAAACGCCCGAACTTAACGTCAGTTCAGACCACTTGTTCGAAAAGTGCGATTGTGTCGAACAGCTAAAAAAGTAACCAAAGAACAATTAGGAACATTTCGGGACCTCCACAGAGCAAGTCAAGAGGAGGGCAATTCCACGGACTGTGACTAATTCGCTGATGTTGTTCAAGGACATGATTCACAGCGATGTAGTATCATATGACTGCTATACACGTGTAGTCAAAGGATCAAATCCTGGTCTGTTAACTACTCCAGCTAAACAAGTCCTCCATCTGGTACCAGACGCATCTTGGAGGAGGAAAGCAAAGCGTGACTTGTAGATTGGGTGGTCTCAACAAGTCATTGTATAGGGTACATCCGTATACAATCATCTAGGGGATTTGGATGGAAGTGGGATTCATGGACGCACCACAAAACGATATGGATCGACATTCTTTACCTTCTAAAACTTAACTTTGTCATGGAATAAAGTGATGAGCTCAAGCAACCATAGGATGAGCCATGACTCTGACTTTTGGCCACACCAATCATTGTAGGAGGTACGGATGAAATAGATAAATTGGTCGTCATAGAGCAGTCATCAAAAAGTAGCCACAACTTGGGCTTCCGACCATGTTTCACAGTTGAATATCCGTATCTACAACCCAGAATTCAAGATT